AATTTATTAATAGAAAAATCGACTTCGAGAAAGTGTGCTCCCAGACAGCCTAATCCCCGGATCCCCCCGTCGAAATTCCAGGGATAGGTGGTAATCTGGGGATGATAACGGGAATTTGAGGGTGATGAGGACGGGTTTTCAACTCGCATATTCCCGTCCTCACGTCCGTCATCAGCCCGGATCTCCCTGTTGAAATTCCGGCGAGGGTATGAATATTATTAAACTATCCGTAAAAATTATATCAAAGGTTACCTAATTACGCACTATAAGTTTGTAGGCACTTAGCCTAACCTATAAGTTGTTTAAATTTACCAAAATTATGAATTTTTGTTTAAACGCAAGCCGCTCAAAGAAATGCACTTTCGATTTCTACGGTGTGCAGAGTTTTTATCGCTCGTTGCGTGCACCACCTCGACTTTCAGTTTTCCAACTTCACCAGCCGCTGTTTTCTTTGCCCTTCAACGACACCATTCTCTGGTGATCATTTCCGGGCTCAGGAGCAACTAACGGCCACCTACGAACGAGATTCCTCTCAACTCTTCCGAGTGCGACTCTACGAACTGCGACCCAGACCTTCACGGACCCCTCCTTTGGCAAGTCAATCCCTTGGCTACTGCTGTCAAGGATCGTAGAGGATCTAAGTGAGTCGTATCATTCTTAATTTTCATTGTCATTCTCGTATACAGTTTTTACCCCCTTTTTCCATTAGCTTAGTCTGGCAGATTAATCAGCAGCCGTAATCTCTACACTAGAAATTTTTCCATTGTAATTTTACTAAGACGTTTTATATATTGTAGAGACTTTTACACTACAAATTTGGTGACCTCATTTTGTGTTTTTATATGTATGTATATTTAAGGGGTACAGGCAAGAAATGCCCTTGAAAACTCTATTAATGTAAAGTAAACAATGTTTTCTTACACAGTTGATGTGCAGTTGGTGGAGGACATATGATACCATGACAGAATTTCGAGTGAATTTTCACAGAACAGAATGAAAACTGTCTAG